TGATCCACCCGCGTCAGCTTCCCAAAGTGCTGGCATTATAGGCATGAGCCACTGTGCCCAGCCTTCTACAAGAAAATTTTTAAAAATTATGTACATATAACAGAAAAGTTACCACCTTAGCATTTTAAAATACAGTAAAGGCTGGGTGCAGTGGCTCAGGCCTGTAATCCCAGTGCTTTAGGAGGCCGAGGCAGGAGGATTGCTTGATTCCAGCAGTTCAAGACCAGCCTGGACAACATGATGAGACCCCCATTTCTACAAAAGATTAAAAAAAAAATAGCTGACCATGGAGGTGCATGCACCTGTGGTCCCAGCTACTTGGGACACTGAGGCAGGAGGATCGCTTTAGCCCAGGAGTTTGAGGCTGCAGTGAGCTATGATCATGCCACTGCACTCCAGCCTGGATGACAGAGTGAGAACCTTCTAAATATGAAAAATCCTCCTCTCCCTTCAAAGGCATTCTGTATCTGTGCCTGTGTGTACATCCATTGCATTTTCATGTTTCTAAAGCATGGAGCTCATGGGGAAAGCTGGTCTGTGTTTAAGTGCCTGTGTACCATGTTTCTTCCACACACCACCCAAGTTGGGCTTGGATATGCTTGGAAAGAAGGGGGAGAGTAAAAACGTTATTGTGGTTGGGTGAATTACTCTATTAGGAGAGTAATACCTACTGCCGGGGTACGTGGGGAGGGGTAGAATTTGGCAGCAGTGTCCATATGTAAATATGTACATATTTTTAACTTAGTACAAGTCAGTGCTTGTCTTTATGCATTTTAGATCTACAAAAATGATCCCAACTAGGGAATAAAATAAGTGGATTTTTTTTTTTAATGAAAATTTGGATGTAAAAACCCAGGAATTTTTTGTGGCCTATAATTTAATTCCTAATGTATCAGACATATTCCAAGTTTAACAGATTTTTTTTTCTTTTGGATTCTGGCAAGTATGTTAACAGGAAGCAATTATGTGAATTAATATAAAATCCTTTTATTAAAAATACAGAAGAGCCTTCATTTTAAAAGTAATTTAATGTTCCTTCTCTGATGGTGTTGATGTCATGAACTTGTTTGATTAACTCTTCAAATGGTTTCAAAGCGCTTGGGGTGGTAATTTATGAACTTCTAATTGATTTCCCCAATCTTGGTTTGGCAGAGGCGGGCCTCCCGGAAACCCCGAGGAGGCTGGAGGCCACTCTCAGCTTCCTTCTCAGACAAGGGAGCCGGCCAGGATGGACTTTCCCAAGTGGCCAGGGGAGAGGGAGCTCTGGCACTGGAGACCTAGACCATGACGTCTGACCAGGCCCATTGTGGTTCCTGAATCCTAAGCAGCTGGGCCTTCACTCCCTCTGAAGATGTGTGGAAACACCACAGGCAGTTTCACAGGAACCATTTCCCACTGGGCCTCACCTCAGAACAAGCCTTCCTTGTTCGGGGAAGGGCAAGACTCGGGAGGTGCAGCCCTCACCATGGTCCTGCCGCTCCACCACTTCCTGTCCAGGCCACTTATTCGTCACTAGTCCTGTCTCAGATGCTACACAGGAGACGCTCTGGGCCTTGGGAAGGCGAGGGGCTAAGGCTGCCACCTCTTAAATCTGCCACCCACAAAAGCTTGCAGAGAAATCAAGGCCTTGGCTGGACCCAGGGAAATGATCATGTTGCTTTTATTGTGTGCGCAGTGATTATCTACTCTCAAAACCTTCTCGGTCAGGCGCGGTGGTTCACACCCCTAATCCCAGCACTGTGGGAGGCTGAGGCAGGCAGATTATTGGAGGTGAGGAGTTCGAGACCGGTCTGGCCAACATGGTCAAACCCTGTCTCTACTAAAAATACAAAAAAAAAAAAAAAAAAAATTGAGCTGGGCGTGGTGGTGCATGTCTGTAATCCCAGCTAGTAGGGAGGCTGAGGTATGAGAATCACTTGAACCCAAGAGGCGGAGGTTGCTGTGAGCCAAGATCACGCCACTGCACTCCAGCCTGGGTGACAGAATGAGACCTTGTCTAAAAAAAAAAAAAAAAAGTAAGAAACCTTCTAGACAGGGAATAACTGCCTCCACTTTACAGATGAAAAAATGAGGGTCAGGGAGGTTAAGAAACAACACACTAAGCTAGTAAGGGGTACAAATGGGATTCAACCCAACAGCCCCACATCCCAACCCACCGCAACAGATACTTCACTATATTCTTGGTCACAAAGTATAAGCTCCTGAGGGCATGCCTGGGCCTCTCAATTCTGTATGCTTCCCTCCCCAGAGTGGAGCCCAGAGTCATGTAAATTTGCAGCAAGTGGCTCTCACGGGCCTTGGAATCTCACTACCTGGGCTTCGGCTTCCTCATCTGTCAAATGGGGATAACATTCACCTCACTGGTTGCTGAATTAAATGAGATCATCTAAGCCCTTGGCACATCCGCATGGGCTCAAAGAGGGTTTCAGGGAGCAGGGACAAGGAGGCAGCCAGGAGGGTGGGTGGGGAATTGCCAGCTGTACTGGGAGTTGTGTTCCCAGCAGAGAATAGGAAAGAGTGGGTGGAGGAGTTTGGCCGGGGCGGAGGTCTTGGTAGGGAGGCTGTGGCGGAGGAGATGGGCTTGTGTGAGCCTGAGCATTGTCCTGTGGATGACAGGGTCCATCGCCTCCTGTGTGACATGCAAGAGAGTAGGAGAAAGGACTCTCCCCAGCTAGTCAGTCTCTGGTCACTGTGTCAGGCTGCTAGGAGATCTGACACCCTCATTACTGTGGAAGGGGTGGGCCCAGAAACGTGAATGGTCACGAGAAGAGGAAACATTATCTGCTCTGAAATCAGGCCGAACAGGACAAACAGCTGACTCCTGGCCTGGGAACCTGGAGTGGCTGTTTCCAAGCCGGGCCTCCCCGGGAGAGGGGCCCTGGTTGGAGTTTAGGGGTTGAGAGGAGTAGGAGAGTGAGATGCCACCAGGCCTCTACCCCCACTGAGGGGCACCAGGGCAAAGGGGCTGCACCCCCAGACTCTGAGGCACACTGGGTTCTGGCCTCTGCCCCTGTCTAGGCTGCATGACCTTGGGCAGAACACTTAGTATTTGTGTGTTTGTGTCC